TTCATTCAACCCCATGAGAAACTGCATTACTTTGTCTTCATTTTCATGATCCAGAATCTGTTCTTTAAGTGTTCCTGTTGCTGTCAAAGGTGGCCTCAATTGCCCATAATGATCCCAAAGATGCCTAAACTTACTATAATATTGTGGAATTGAGAGATCTCCTTGCCTCATCATAGTAATTTCACGCTTCAATTCACACACCATTGAAGAATTACAAGTACCACAGGTTTGAGCTAACTCATTCCACAATTCTTTGGCATCATTCACAAACTTGAAATCTACAACAATTTCAGGTGCTAATGCAATTTTTATCCAGGATAAAACCATACTATGCAGTCGTCTCCACTTCTTAAAAACAGGCGAATTAACAGCAGGCATTTCACAGGTTCCATCCACAAAGCCATACTTGTTCTTAGATTCTAAAGTTGTAATCATTGCATTACGTCAAATCAAATAGTTCTTACCGTTCAGAGGGCAGTTCACAATCACCATTCCAGGAGTCTCTGAACCGTGCAACTGCAATTCATCATCTAGATCGAAGAATTGCATGCGCTCTCTCGCAAATCGTCCAAAATCCTCATCATTAGATCCACGATTTCTCTCCATCTTAGCAGAAACTGAACCGTAGGATTGTAGTACAACTCAAGCACAACAAAATCTTGTAATTTTGATACTGCAGAAGCGCTTAACAAAGCAAGATCGTCCTGCTTTGCGATACCATGTTGAAAGAGATGAGAGGTTAGGGTTTTCTGATTTGGGGAAAAAATTCAATTGTATATTTATGCTACTAAAGTAATATATCTGTACAATTTTATATGTATGTACAAACTAAGCGACTAAGTCAACTAACATTATTTACAACCTTACACCCTATACTATTTACAAATATTACCTTGAACTGTACAAATATTACAAATCAAGATATCCTAAAATCAAGCACTTCATTTTGACTCTGTGAATCAGACACTCTGTCCAACAAAAATTTGCACTGTTCTCTGCCTTTTTGTCTAATTTTCATCCATCTTTTTTCATTATGTTGCAATTGAGTCATTGATCGTCGGAAAATACAAAAATAACTAAGAAATATTAAACATGCTATGTTATTAAACATGCTAATTTGACACTTATTAAAACAGCATTAGCTTCTATCATGTTCATTTCCTTGTTCTAACTTTTTCCAGGTGAATTAGATATCATTAAGCTGTTGATTATCGAATCAACAGCTTTATATAACTTGCACACAGCTGTTAATAGGAATGACTTTGTGAAACTGCGCAACAAATTGAAAGTCTTTAAATAACGAAATTTGGAATGAATGCCATTTATTGGAATGAAACCATCAAACCAAGAACTTCTTAGTCTTTCTGTCTTTTCTTTATTTCCATTGTTTGTAATCATGTTTTGTAGTTTTTCATTCATGGATTTTGTGTTTAAATTGCTGAATATGAGAAGCTAAACTCATTTCTAGGGTTGAATCCCTCTTCTTATGTAGTGTGCCTTGGGTTTGCATTCTGGAAGATGTTGTGTTCTAAATTTTAATGCTTAAGTTAACCTTATGTTTAGTTTAATCAACTAATCATTTGTTCTTGCATATTGTGTGAATCCCGGAAGGGTTAGCTAGCTTAGAATGGTTAGAATTGGTTTGTGACTTAGACATAAGAGTCTAAGGTTTCAATTAAGGTTGGAAGATACTGATTTTGGTATGGATGGTTAATAAGACTTTAGGTTTTTATGGCTTTATGTTATTTAAACAGTTTACTCAGAAGAGAGCTTGTTAATCAACAAAAAGATACCTCCTGCAAAATCGGAAGTGACCTTGATATATATATATATATATATATATATATATATATATATATATATACGTTTCTGACCAAACACACACTTCATACAAGAAGTAGTGTAAAATCCATAGCAAATCTACAAAGAAAGTGAGGAGGATACCCTCGGCTCACCACTTAGGCAAGCCAGTTTCTCACTATACTAAGCTAGCGTCTTTTTATCATTGTCTGTTACTATGTTTTTGTGATATCCACTTACGTATGTCAAAAATCCACTTGCGTAGGCTGTTTTTGTCACCTCTGCAATCTAAATCTACATTCTTTGTGAATTTCATGGCTTAAAAGCTTGTTTCGACTGTCCCAGTGGACCAACAAAACTTATCACTTCCTACTGTTTTAATTTGCTTTACAAATTTTCTTTTTCGCCCAGATTGACAACCCGCAGTGAGCATATTAATCTCTAACAAGATGAGAATCCAGTTCCAGATGCTTTGTGTTTCATGGAAAACTGGATTTTCAGTCATTTACATAGCTGAGAGATTGTCATGCCAAAGAGAGATAGGAATATCAAGTTGAAAACTAAAATCATGTAAGAGGTGAGAATTCCAAATCAAATCTCTACTGCTAAATCTCATACTGCAGCATTCTGCCTCAACATTGGAATAGGAGACTATTGTTTGCTGCTTCGCCTTCCAAGAAATGAAAGATTAACCTAAGAAGATACAAAAACCAGTGGAAGATTTTTGGTGCACATGCTCATATCCCCAATCAATATCAGTGAAAGCTTCTAATTTGAATGAACTCTGACAAGGATAGAGAAAGCCATGAGAAGAAGTTCCTTTGACGTATTTCAGAACATGAGGCTGAGTTGATCAGTGATCCTAACAAGGTTGTTGGACATGTATACTGAGTTGTTGCACAAGCTTTCTGTAAGATGAAGGATCAGACATAGGACTTCCTGGAGTGTCTGTGAATTTATGACCCTTAGGGAAGGATGTGGTAGTAGGTTTATAGCTTGTCAATCCAATAGCAGTGATAGGAGTCTATAAAGTATGTGTCCATTAATTGATTGATCTCATGAAATTTCATAAAATTTCATGATTTTAATTAATTGATTTGGTTGATTGGAACTGTTTTGGATAATTTTGCACGACTAGGGATGAAAAGAATTCCAAATTTATAGATTGGTCCTTCAAGTATGTAGTATTTTCACATTTGGCCCAAAACTTCCTTAATTGTGAAATTAGGTTCCTAAAGAGAAGCACGTTTTGGATTGAGAAAAAGAAGAAGACATACATACCTGAAGATAACTCCTCCAACCTATTTCTTTTTCAAACTTTCTTTGGGACCCATGGAGAATAAAACTTTCATGGTTGCATCCATAGGCCGCTAAACTCTTTATTCTGATTCAAGGAATTTATTTAGTTATTTCATAATGAGATTTTGTTCTTAATTTATTATTCTTTCCTATGATTTAAGTTTTATTTTTTTTTTGTTCTTCTTTTAATTTATGAAAATAGATAACAATCGAGTTGACAACTTGATTTAATGTTTTACTTTCTATTGGAGTTTGGTAGTTGAATGTTACGTAATAAACATCAACCGGCAGTACCAAATAGTAACTAAGCTATGTATGTGTATTTGTGAGGCATTGGATGTGCCTACTAGCTTACACGTAGAATTAACAAGACAAAGTCTGAACAATTATAATTATCTCAATTATTTAGACTTTGGTTTAACTAGATTTCCATTGGGTTTATTGTTATCATGAATTTTAAGAGATAGAATGCTATCGTGCCCAGTCTATCTATGATTAATATTGTTTGAATGTTAGGTTCAATTAGTTATTTCAAGAAAATATATAGTAGATTTATTCTAACCATCCCAATGATTCTTCGGTTAAATGCTTAAATTGCTTGAATAGTTTTAGTACATAAGATTAGTAAAATAATTGTGTTGGCCATCCCTTGAGTCAGATATTTGTTACTTTGATCCTTTTTTTATTATTTTCTGTTACTTGAGTTTTCATTATCGTAGATTAGAACAATCCAAAAATCTGACCCTGAACTAGTTTAAAGGAAATAATCCATCTTTCTCTAAGGAGACGACCTTAGTTCTCTATACTACTTTAGTTTGAAGCATGTTTATTTTATTAGTTAGATTGACACTCTATCAAACAGCCAGAATATCTTATATGTATTTTCATTCAGAAATGTACAAGTTCAACCTTTCGTTTACTAATCAGAAAACCTATGCACAATTGAGAAGAAAGCTGATCTTTTAATGTTGTATCAGTTGGTCTGATAATCAGAATGTTCTTCAACTTCAACCTTTTAAAAACTCTCAAATTTTCATCTTTGAAGTGGCTAAATTATATACAATTTTGTAATATAGGCAATATAGAAGGTACATCAACCCTCATTGTGCCCTTCCAAAACATTTATTCTTTTTTTTTTACTCCAAAAAAAAAAAACTAAAATCTACCTTCCCACAATAGCATAATGCCTTCTCTTGAAGGTTTGCTCATTTAAAATTACTACAAAGAGAATATGTATCTACATTTATATTGTGACTATTTCTTATGTAGTTGCATGGAACTAGGATTGGAAGGCTTTGCCAACCCTCTACTATGAACTATACGCCAGATATTTACGTGAAGCAAGTTAAAGATGTGGCTGGATATGACTTATTTTCTTACCATAGGCTGATATGTTTGATTTACAAAAAATGAGAGCTTCAGAGTATCGTCATGAAAACAACCATCATCAGCAAAATATTACTCTCTCCATCCCAGAATTATTGTCCAGTTTCAAACTTTATTTCTAGTTCAAATTATAGTAAAAGTAAAATCTCAAAGTAGACAATAATTTTGGGACAGAGGAAGCATATATAATTTGATGTACCCTTACATTGTATGAGATGATGCTAATTTGACCGCCGTCTAACAGTTTCTTCAACACGAACTACAAATTGAAGAAGAACTAAAACTTGCTAAATTAATGCCATCATATATTTATATGGATAATAATACTACTATGAAAACAATTAAAAGAAAATGTAACTGAACTTCATTAGCAAATTAAAAATTTTCCAAGTAAACTTCGAAAGAGAGTGCTAGCTCAAATTCAGATATAAAGTAATTACCAATATATTCAAGGAAATCAATCAAGCACTGATTAAGCATCTAAATTATTAATTAACCCTGAAGCATTCATAATTTCATTTCATTGGACTTTCCCATGCAGCCTTTGGAACGATATGCACTTGTATGAATAGACCTCTTTCTTCAGACTTGACAAATTCACAAATGCATGGTTCATCTGGCTCAATGAGATTCGCTTGGCAAAGTTCCTTCCATCCATTATGGTACCATGAACGATTATCTTTCCACATGGTAAGATCTGTCTTCCATTCCCTCCCTCGATAGTCACGTAAGAAGGTCTTCACCGGCAGTTCAAGATTGTAAACTTTAATAATTTCAAGAGGCACAAACTGCAAAAAAAAATTGATCAAAAACATGCCAACTTTTTTTTCTTTTTTTGCATAAGTGCAAAGCATTTTACTTAAAATAGGTTACCGCACTAGTTTTTATTAACTAGCAGCTTTTATACCTAATTCTTATTGTATTTTTTACAAATATTTACATATAAAACCTGTACATGCTTTGCAATTTCATTCAACTGACCCTAACACAACATGAAGTCCAATAGTCCCACTTTAAGAATTCTTCAAGGGTAAATGTATACCAAATGCATAAAGAGCTATTTTCTATTTTGTTGATGACACTAAAATAAACCTTAATCCCATAGAGGGTCTCAAAACTGCATTGAATAATGAATTTAACAAAATGAAAGTGCAAAATCAACATGCGTACCAATCCATATCTCCTCGTTGGATTTATTTGCGTGACAAAATGTGGATTCTCAGGTCTATGAACTTTTCCAGATTTGAAAAGTTTATAGCCAAAGGGATCGACTAGTCTGTTCTTCTTCCAACAACGATCTACTTCATCTTTTCCATTCCCACCTAAAAATGTAATTATCAAATAACAATCATACCAAAAAACAGAAAAAGTAATTCACATGGCTCAAAATGATTGTCTAATTTACTATACGAAAAATGGAATAAAAAAATAAATAGTCATTTTAGGATGGATGTGAGTGCTAATTTAGTGAGCCAATGAATATTTAACTAATGGAGGGGATTACTGAACAGTATGATGAAGTCGTACCTCTGACATTTATTGAGCCAATGTGGGCTTTAAAAGGCTGATCACTTTCCTTGCCTTCTCCATTAACATTATTACTGTTGGCATCCGCATTATCATGTACTGCTACTACTTCTTTGTCCTCTTCCTGTAATTTATATTTAAGACTTCCAACTCCTCTTTTGTCACATGAATCATATCCCAATATTCTGACATTGAAGACATGAATTCCATCAAACTTAAAAATGATAAAGTCTCCCTTTTCCAAGTAGTTTTGTTGAATGAATGTTGTCCACCCTTGGTGGAAATAAGTTTTCTCCTGATCATTAGTAAGTTTCACATGCCATATGTTGCCATAGCGATCCCTTAAAAGTGCTTTTGTAGGCAACTTTCCTTGCATCTCCTTTGTCCAAGCCGTTGGAAGCATCTGCACAGGGATAAATTATCAAATAGGCAACAAAATAGTGAGGTAAAACAATTTTTCTTCGTCACCAAAATTGTTCCACCAACTTTTAGATCTTCAATTATTTACATAAATCTATTACAATATCTGGAAAATAATAAACTATAAAAATGATAGTACTAGAAAAAGTGTCATCATCATGCATTAATCAAATACTTCAATCTCGTAAAAGAAAATTGCAAAAGCGTGTCAAAATAATAGTACTAGCAAATAATAATAAAAAATTGGGTATTCAATTTCAAAAATTATTTAATTTTCAAATATTGCAGCTAAGAGTTGTATGGGGGATCTCAATGCTAAGATGATAGACAGCGTGGCAGCTAGGGAAAAAATTATTTTAGCTCTATCAAAGGTATAACTCCATCTAGTTGGTGACTTGGTTATCTGCAACCTGAACTAATCATGAGAACATGACCTCTCTGATTGGATCTTGATACTTTCTGATGTGACGACGTAATCAGTTTCAATTGTAGTTGAACAAATCAAAGATTCAATGCCTTTTAAACAAATATACAAATAAAAGATACAATGTGTTGCTAACCAAAAAAAAAAAAGAAAAAAAGATCAATGTCTTTTGTCATTCTTTAGCTAAATGTGCTAAATGTAACCATGCTCTTCCGAAAATATAACGATTCTATAACCCAATTTGAAATATACACCTTATATCGTACAAGACAATTTTCCAGTCAATTAGTGAAAACATTCTCTTTTCAAAAGAAACAAAAAAAAGAAGAAAATTAAAAAAAAAACACTTTTGATTGATATATATCATGTTCTTCTGTTCATAGAATTAGTTCACAATCAAGCTTTCCATTAAAGAAATGGCTTAATTTCTTTAAGATGTATTTTTTTAAAAGTTAACCAGGATGGTACGGGCGAGCATCGCCTACTATATTAATAAGAAAACAAAAATACTGGTACTATGTAAGAATTATATATAATTTGCACCATCTTTTAGAGCGTACTTAAATATAGGTGATTAGTTATTTCATCCTTAAAATGCATTTAATTTTGTGACGATGATTCATAATCAGCAGCATCAATTATACATTAGAATTCTAAGAAAAATGTTTTGTATTTCTTTATCGTAAAGAAAATCAGAAGAGATAAAAGGAAACAAAACTTACAATTTTATCAGTGCTGGTTTCAGGATTGAATACTTTGAAAAATTCAGTTGGCTTATTCTCTGCCTTGCTTTCCACCTTCTTTGATCGCTTTATTCCTTTCTTTGGAGGCATTTTCTCGATGAATCTGAAAAATGAGAACGATATCCAAGAAAAAATTAATGACAAATAAGAAAAACAGAAACAATGAGATTAACCCTTGATTAAAGAGAAATAGAGTCAGCAAATATAATAATAAAACTATTCTCAAATAACTTGTCTTCAAGCGTATATCCCTTGGGTATATCCTTTGGGTGCATTATATCACCTAACAGTGCTTCATTTAAGAAATAGCTCTTGGGTATACCCCTTGAATATTTCTTGAATTAAGTGGGACCTGAATGTCGCTTCCTTCCTTTTCTTTGCTTAAAAAACAAAAAAAATTCTCTTCAAGCTTTTTTTCACTTGTGCTATAAAATGTAGCCACCCGATGTGAAAAAAAAATTACTTGAATCTTGTAATCTTCCTATTTAATTATTTGGAAGTAATGTTCTGGGTATAAGCTCATCTACTTTTTTAATCATTGGGACGCTTTGGGTAAGTCTTGGCGGAGAGGGTTCGAGTCAACTCCATAGAATTTCCAAATTAGGAAAAAATGAAAAATGAGTAAGAAATTTTTATTCTAGCCCAAAATAAATAAATAAATGAAATATAAAAGTTTGAACATTTTGTTGCCAGTTAAAATTTGTAAATACTAATTTTCCGCATTGTTTGAATTTTTTTTTTTATGTCTGAAAGTTTGTATTCATAAATATGGGGGATTCTGATTTTTCCTTTCTATGGTAAATCCAAGAACTCCTTCAAAAGAGATACATACATACAGTACATAGGAAAGTCAAGTATGGTAACATCGGAATGTTAAAAACACCAGAATGTTTGCCCGTTTTTAAAATTTTAATGGTATCGACGAATTTTGGGATGTTATGTACGCTAAGTACTACCAAGACTTTGGAACATAGAGCTATTGTTTCATTCAATTTATAGCCAGCATTGTGATAAAGCTGATTTGTCACACAACAAAATTAATTTAGGTGGAGAACAATTCAACAATTCAATGTTATCCTTAAGTAATCAACAACACTACAAACGGAATCCGGAGCCTCAATTTATATTACTCACGGGTTTAGGGGTAACAACAATTGGTTCCCTATGCTTCATCGCATGCACAATTTATTGTTTTATCTTTTATAAGGCAATTAAGGGTAAACGATTTGCAGAAACTATTGTGCAGTTCGAAATGAAAATTTTGAGTCAAATATTCCAGCTTGCTCTACCAAATTTTCTGCCCTCCTCAAAATGCATTAGATACAGCTTATAGGTATATATCCAGAGTCTTTGAACAATCTGTTCAAGGTTTCTCTCATTAATTTGTGAGTGTCTACGTAATTGAAAATGATGAATTAGGTCGTCAACAAAAAGTGTTCAGCTATCATTGTACATCTACCTAATTTCAATCATTATTTACATGTGAATTGAAGTTTCTCGTTATCAACTTGGTCTCGATTTTGTCTCCCTCCAAAATTGAGATTCTACCCATATGTGCAGGATTGCAGTTACACCCATGAATTCCATTGGTTTGACTAACATGCTTAGTTTATATGATGATCATTATGAGTTTCAGTGGAATTATTAGTCTGCACAATGTTCCTTTATCTTTCACATTTGGTTTCATCATTTGATTTTGATAGGGAATTAAAGTTAAGTTTATAAGGATTACTAATCACACGTATAATTTGCAGAAGACACAGTTGTCAACTGCCATAGGCTCATAGCTGCTGCAAAATAAAGAAAGCCCACAAGAAGCAGACATGTCAATCCAGTGTTGATTTATTCATGATTTAACCATAGAATAGCTGTGAATCATGTGTTTCACCACGATAAATAGTTTTTGATATTTGAGGATCATTTACTTGTAGGCTTTTTTTTTTAATTGAACCAGGTGAGAACTTGAAAAATTTATAGATAACCAGAAATATTTTTCACAGCAATGCTTAAGACTTACCCTACAAGAGACCATAAAAAAGACGGATATTTAATATCAGTAAATATACCGATACTTTCAAAAAAGACCTAATTGGACCTATACAAAATTATGTTAATGTTTGGTAATTTTTGGACTTTTCATAACTATTTTTCTAGTAACTCAATAAAGAAAACCTACAAGCTAATTTTCCTGTCAACGTGATTCGCTTCTTTCGGATCACATATCAGAACTGCCGTGTTTAGTGGGCATATGGAGAATCCAACTCTATGAGTGATATACGGGGAAATTAAACACTGTTAATTCCAAAAAAAAAGTAACTAAAACATAATTAATCTGAATTCAAACCTGAACCAAACATATGAAATAACCGTAGAAACTAATTTGGTTTGTTTGTAATCCAGACCGGTGAACCGATATGTACCGGTGAACCAAGTATTGAGGACCGGCGGACCGGTTTCTGAGAGTTGGCCGACAAAGCGGCTGTGTAATAGGGAGTCGGAGTTCCGGCTTTGGGAATGGCCGACAAAGCTGATTTGACTGTTCTGACGGCTGCCGATTTGCAGCAGCGGATGGTGGACCTCTGTAGCATCGAGCTTCTTGTCGACACTCAGATCTGAGACATCAGAGTCTCAATCTGCATCTGCGGAAGATTTAGGCGGCAGGGAGAGGAGCATTCTGGCGGCAGCAGCAGAATCTAGGCGGCGGGATGCGTTAAGCCTACGCTCGGCAACTGTTTCTGCGGGAGATCTAGGTGGCGGGGAGAGGAGCATTCTAATGGCGACAGCAGAATCATATCTGAGTAACAACTCAGACTGCGGCAGTCACACTACCAAACGGCTAATCCACGGCCAACGATCCCTGGGCAGCACCTGATTTGCATCACCAGCGGCTGTTTTTCGATAGTTCGACTGGAGCTATTCGTCTGGAGCTGGTCCCTGGATCAATTGGTGGCCGCTACTTTGGCTTTATTTGAGTAAAGGAGAGAAAACATAAAATAAAAGGGAAATTTGACTCCCCCAAACACCGTTAATGGTGGTTGGGGGAGGAGGAAGGTGTTGTTGTGGGGTGACAGCTTGGAAAGAGAGAGGAGAGAAAGAGATAGTACGTGTAGGCTTTCTACTTTAGTTTTCAATGAGTATTGCAGACATTTTTTTTTTCTTTCAGTCTTAATGTGTAATTTTTCTTGAATTTTGTATATATTCTGTGAAAGTTTGTTGTTTGGGATTAGGGTACTGTGATAAAAATGTTGATGAACTTACATGAGCTTTGACTCCTTGGTTCTTGATTAGTTCTATGGTAGTATTGTGCTAAGGGTACTGTGAGAAAAATGAGGACGGGAGAGAGTTTCTGGAGGAAGTACTTCGGTGCTAAGTAATGGTGATGAGGAGGAGGATGTTGAACTTTTGAAGACAAATCCAGCAATGCCTGGAAAAGATTTATGTTTCAAAAGAATGAAAGCTATCAAGATGATAGAGTTGCCCATATACCGGCATTTCAATTTTCTGTTTCAAGCTACATAGGATTTAAGGTCCAATAGTAAGTATCTTGTTCCTTTTGTCATACTTTTTGCCTATCTAGTGGAGAGAAGAAAAGCTTAATCAAACAATGAGATGCCGAGATATTAATTGATGGCATAGTTAAGCATTTTTTCTCAAAATTTTTTGTTTTTTTTTTCTTGAAATCTATTTCAAATTATTTTTAAATGACATGTTCCGTTCATAACAATCAAGCAATAATATGGACTTAAAGAGATTGGAAGAGCGAGCAAAAGGGAGGGAAAAAGGAGAAATTATCTTTGACTTGGGAAGTGGTTGTTTTAGAAGAAAGCTAACAAATTGTTTTGGATGCAAATATTTGTTTTAGAAATAACAAAAGCCATATATCATATATGTCTTATTTAGATCTATAATTGATTGACATAATGTTTGCTTTCCTATAATCGATTTTTGGTACTTACATTTAAGTTTCTTGCAAATTCTTTATTATTAATTCTGTTTTGCCTAACTTGTCAAGCATGTTCCTGTTAGCAAATGAACCCTTTAGGTAATAAGGAAGAGACCTCTTTCGTGATGGGTTTAGAAAGTGGAAATAAAAGAGAAGATAATTTTTGAAGAAATAGAGCTCAATTATTTTGTAGTGAATGAAACTATTTCTATTAAGATAGCCTTTGACTTGTAATCCTTACAACTTCTCTCTACACTCTTTACATTAAAGGCCTAACCCCCATATATAGTTGTACATGAAATCTTCTAGAGAATCTCAAGATTTTTCTACAACACCTAAATATCCAGATATTTTATCCCAACATCTATATCTTGCTTCAAGATATTTTCATACATGATTCTACACATTTTAGTTCTTTTGTTAGAATCTTCTTACAAATTTCTAATATCATCTTTTCTATACTTTTATTTTTAATGGGGTAGGACTTGAACTAATTGATAAGTCCAACTTAAGAAACTTGGATAGTCCAATATTAATTGGACCAATCAAGTTTATTCACTAGTAGTTCCATCATAAAAGTACACTTTAATTACATAAGTCACTGAAGTTTACCACTTCAGTAATTGGAAGAATTCAATTGAAAACTTCTTTTCTATACCACCATAATGATTTTACAGATTGAATTGCCTTCAAGAAAAATCGAAAAGAAACAAACGAGTTCTGGATGAGCGAGGTGGAGAGGGATGTTGAGGAGAATAAATGGAAGATAGCCAAGATTCAAAAAGAAAAAAAAAATTGGCATCTAAATGGATTGGTCCAATGATTTCTTATTTGTGCTAATTTGTTTTTTATATTTTCAGAAAGGGAAAGGGAAGGCAATTATAAGATGTTAAATCAAATTTATGATGTGCTACTGATCCGATATATTTTATGTCAATGTGTTGAATTTGCACATATATTTAGCTCAAATAGATAATCTTGGTATGGTAGTTTGTCTAATGGCTTACTCCCGAAGCACTCTGCTATCATTCTTTCTATCATTACATCAAATATAATTTTAATGAAACAAAAATTTATAGGAATCAAATAATTACTCTATATTTATGTTTATTATCGACCTTAAAAGAATGTTGCAAAACATAGAAATATTATGAGCTTTCAAGTGTTTATTTGTGATAGCATAAGACTCCGATTCTTAATTTTAATTGATTTTATAAATTTTTCTTATACCCCATTCCATCTATGACAAACTCTAGTGCAAGCCCTAGTTCATTAGATCAACATCCTCCTGCAAAATCAATTTAATTACCGTGGCGAGTGACTAAATCTCTTAGATCTACCGGTCTCCAAATCAATTAAAAATTTTGATTATATTTTTTTCTTTATTCCATTTTATTCTAGTTTTGTCATGAAATTCACGTATGAGGTTTATCATTCCTGGATTTGACTTGAGAAAAAATAAGGTAAGGATCGGAGCGATGATTCGTAAATCAATCACTCATGGTGACGAAGGCATGCTTTATAGAGTGTAATCATTTCAAATGCAAATGAAAATTAAAATAGAAACTATTTCAAGTATTCAAAACCATTGAAAAAGACAGCCCTCATAAGAACAATTTACTAAAATAATCAGCTTTTGAGGAAATCTAAGCAATGGTAGGAAATAACTATGTTTGGTTTACCTGAAAACAGAAGACAACGATTAATTTTTCTTCTGGAATAAAAGTATAGCACCAACTAACAATCACTCTTCCGACGAAATTGCTGCTTATAAAATCGATCTGGAGCCAATCAAACTCAAGGAATGCGTCTTGATCTTCGGTTCTTATGTCTGCTTTGCTATTCTATTCAAGGGTGTATATTTTCTAGAAATGAACGACACAGCTGGAAAAAGGGGAGGAAACAAATGAGAGTATAAAAACAGTATTGTTATATATATTGAGAGTAAACAAAAAAATATTATTGTAATTAATCTTATTTAGGGCTTTACCCAAAAAATTAAAAAATAATCTCATTTATAAATTCCATAAAATTTGATAATTAGTGATAAATCTGAAGTCAGATTTTTTATTTTGGTTTGTGAATAGTCGCCTGCCCAATTATCTTATTATAAAAGTTTAATATAATGTTTTTGTTCAAAATATAAATAGTTTATAAATTTTTGCACCAATGAAAATTTTCCTCCCGTCTTGAAACTAAATCACTTAATTAAATTACAAAAATATTATAAAAGGTTAATATAATGTTTTTGTTCAAAATATAAATCCCCTCCTAAAAATTTATGCAATGGTTGATCAATGTAGATTTTCCACTGATAAGATTTTCAGGTTTCTTTTGTGGGAAAATAAAATAAATTTAAACTGTTGTTAAATTTAACTTTACACATGTCAAAAGTCAACTGTAGAATTGATTAGAGTTTATCGTTTACCCAAGATGCTTCACATAATTGTCAAAAGAAAAAAGCACCCAAATATAGGTTACCGTTGTTTTGGCCAAGAAGGGTGACTTGCTATGTTCTATTCTTCTTTTTTTTTTCTCTTTCTCCGGGGTCGGACTCCTCTTTTTAGTCCCCCCAATGTTTACCCAATCACCAAATGAGTCACAAAAATAACTTATTCAGCAATTTTTGGTTTTTAGCAAGGGAAAAATAATAAAATAACAAAAACCTACACCAAAACACCACCTTTTAGTCCCCCTTTTATGGATAAAATTAAAATTTCACTCCGAGTTTCACTGAAATAACAAAAAGGGAATATTTCTTTAGATATCATTTTCTTCCATTTATGTCTTCTTCATTTTTTCATGGCTTTGTTGCGTACAGTTTGACTCTTTTTTTGTTTGTTCTGGCCAAAAATTGCAAAACTTAAATTTGTTGATATTTCATATTGGATCTTTAACTCTTTATTATTTTTCATTCATCTTTTCAATTATATTATATTATTTTAATATGTTATGTCTTTTAGTTAAATCCAGGACAATACTTGGTTGGCGTTCTCCCGATTTTAATAATATTAAAAAAATAAATTATATCGGGGAATGCTTAAGACTTAGCCCGTTTCGATTTTCTTTTTTTTTTTTTTTTTTGGTGAAGCTGTAAACTTTCATAGCTTCAAAAGGACAGTTGTACATAGTTACTACCGAAATTTGACTACCGACATTGATTTACATAGATAAGTACATAGTTACTACCAAAATTTGACTACTTACATCGATTTTTTTTACATAATATAAGTGTTCACAGTAAGCTGTGGATGATATTCTGCCCCTGTGCTGACAATTTCCTGTTTTTGCACTGTTGAATTCTAACTCTGATCACCCTTTGAACTTCCAGAAAAACCACCTTTGCTTCCCACTTCTAATTTTTTATCACTCTCCCATTCCTTTCTTCCACAATAAAATATATGCAGGCCATAAATACTGCACACAAAATCTATTTTTGAGCCTGGTTTTCCTCCTGAGATACAGCTAACCCTTTTGCAATTTTCTTTGTTCCACTGATAGTACTCCAGTCCGCAACCAGTGCTTTGCTCTTTCCAGCACTTCCATGGAGTAAGAATATTGAAAAAGCAGGTGGGCAATGGTTTCATCGTGAGCTTCACAGAGAGAACGTCTTTTGTCTTAGACAGAGAGGTTCAGGTGAACTATCCTATCCTTAGTCCATATTCTACCCTTCCAAACCAGCCACCTTATAAAAGAGTACTTGGGAACATTGAGTCTGGACCCGATCAGATTAGCAGCAGGCATTCTTTCTCCAAGTACATGCAGCCACCTATGATTGTATAAGTTCCTTTGGTGCTCATTCTCCATTTTCCACCATCAAAACCATCTTTTGCTATATCTCTTATCTTAATAATCTATTTCTTTGACCAACTGCTATCATTTTTGCATTGCACCTCCCATATGCTTTTTTTTCTTGAGGTATACCTCTTGAGACCACTTCAGCCAGAGGCAGAACTACAATGGGGGGCACTAGGGGCACGTGCCCCCACTGACTTATTTAAAAAAAATTATCACCTATATATGTATATATATATATGTGTGTGTGTGTGTGTATGTGTGTTTGTAGAATAGTAGAAGCTTTCAGCTATTACCTTGTCATTCGTCCAGTAAAAACTAAAAAGACAACTCAGACTTTTCTTTTGTTTTGTTTACTAAGGTCCCACAAAAGAGTTTCATATTCCTTTCAACACTATTACACTACCAAACTCCTAATTAACATGCCAAATTAAAAAATGCGATGTTGGATCCCCCCAACAAACTTAACTCCTACTAGAATTAGAAAACCAAAGGAACTCACAAGTCTTGTCGTTTTTCTTCGTTTTTTAGTTGTAGTTCCCTTCAAAAGAAAAACAAAATAGTTATATTTGCTCAATTTGATTAGAGTGGTCTTATAATACACAACTCTCAAAGCAATACTCAGGTTGGATTTCTTTCAGTATTTTCTCGCAACAATTTTTTTTACTTGTTATTTTTTTTTTTTTACAAATGTTCTTTTCCTTATTTAAGGGTTAAATAACATTTGCATCTTTAACTGGTTGTCATAGGATTTTAGATAGGATACTAGACTAGCATAGTTGATCATATTTATACTAGAGGAAAACGAGGGGCCATGGGGTAAATGTTATACCTTTGTGAGGCACTCTCTTAAGTTTTAGTTCCTTTCATATTTTTGAAAAGAGATGCCATGGGATTATTGCAAAATATTTCTAAGGCATCATCTTAGTTATTAAAGCATAGAGCTGTCATGGGATTTTAGTAAATCTTTGTACGATAGACTCTCTCTCTTTGGGTAAGTCTTAAGCACTATCTGTGTATTCTCTTTTTTATTACCAATAAAATCGGGGGGGATACCCGCCAGGTACCATCCTGGTTCAGCTTAAAAAAATTTTGTTCATACAAGAGGCTAATAGATCCTATTTTTTTCTTATAAATTATAGTGAATCATCTAATCAGATTATTAGCTAGTATTTTATAAAACTTTTAACAATGATTTAATTAGATGTTACAAGAATTTATGCGAACAATAGTTTCAATTGTAACAGTGTTTTTGTTTTTCTTATTTAGTCATGGAGAAATCATTGGAATAGTAACATCTAGTGCTAGTAGAGGAACAAATGAAGACATTGGCTCAAGAGAGAGTGAGGATAAAAGAAGACGAATAGAAATCAATTTTGATTACCTCCCTTCTGACCCAGGTTTGAGAAAGAAAATAGCATATTATAATCCAAATATTCAAGATAAGATTAGAAGATATCATCTTATAAAAGGACCTTGTCAACGTCGGGAACATAATTTTGCTCAGAAAATAATTTTTTAAAAAAAAAGGCATGTTGATTTGTACCTCAATGGTTTAATGAATACAAGAGTTGGTTAGAGTACAGTATTGAAAAAGAATCTGCTTTTTGTTTATGTTGCTATCTATATAGAGCAAATACTGAGAGGCAATCAGGTGGTGATAGTTTTGTTACAGAAGGTTTTTCAAACTGGAAAAAGAAAGAAAGTTTTGGTGTTCATGTTGGTAGTCTAGATAGTGCACACAATTTTGGTTGGAGGAACCAATATTTATGAATCTAAACCAACATATTGATGTAGCTTTTTTGAAGCAATCTGAGAAAGCAAGGATGGAGTATATAACTAGTTTAGTGGCTTCTCTGGATTGTGCTAAATATCATCTCCATCAGGGATTGCCTTTTCATGGTCATGACGAGTCTGATACATCTAAAAATCAAAGAAATTTTCTTCAATTATTACAAATTTTGGCAGATCACAATGAGGATATCCAGAAAGTAGTTCTAGAAAATGCACCTAAACCTCAAGCTCACATCTCCTGATACTCAAAAAGACATAACAAAAGCTTTGGCTAGTGAGGTTACACGAGTCATTATTGATGACATCGGCAATGGATTATTTTTCATTTTAGGTGATGAATCTCGAGATGCATCAGGAAAAGAGCAACTGGTTATTGTTATTAGATATGTCAATTCACAAGGATTGGCAATCGAACGCTTTCTTGGCATTCTTTATGTGAGTAATACTTTTTCTCAAACACTTAAAGAAGGAACTGATGCATTGTTCGCAAAAGATGGGTGGAGCATTTTGCAACTTCGTGGTCAATGTTATGATGGTGCTAGCAATATGAGGGGTAAATACAATGGTTTGAAAACATTGATTATGAATGGCAATGGCTCTGCATATTATATTCATTGCTTTGCCCATCAGCTTCAATTAGCACTTGTAGGAGTTGCAAAGAAACATATCCAATTTCTTCTATGTATGACACACTATCAGTCCTAGTCAATGTTGTTGAAGGTTCGTCCAAAAGACGAGAAATTTTTTGAGATTTAAGCATTCAGAGAGTGATAGAAGATTTGAAGACTGGTGAACTTACAAGTGGAAGAGGTTTACATCAAGAAACAAGCCTACAAAGAGTAGGAGATAGACATTGGAGATCACACTTTAATTCATTTGTGAAGTTGATTCTCATGTTTGGTTTTGTGGTCCTTATGATTATTGAAAAAAATGGAACTTAGTAACAAAGAGGCCAGGCTTATAAACTGCTTATTTCTGTGCAATCTTTTGAATTTATTTCCTCTATGCATTTGATGAGAAAGGTATTGGGAATTACAAATGCACTATGTGAAGCATTACAAAGAAAGGATCAAGATATTGTTAATACCATGACTTTGGTAAGAGTTTCCAAAGAACAATTATAGGCTACAGGAGATGATGGGTGGGATTCTTTGTTAAGTGAAGTCACTCATTCTGCCAAAAACATGAGATTACAGTTCCACAAATATATGGTATGTTTGTACCTAAGGGAAGGGCACGAAGAAATGTTCCAGAAATCTCTAACCTTCTTGTTCAGTGATTGACTTGC